ATTCCTCAAGCCCATCCTGCCCAGCCTGCCCCCACAGCACTGCGCCGTGGGCCAGGGCCCCGATGAGGAGCAGGATTCCCCCGGTGTCCCTGTCAGCAGCGAGGACATGGCCCCAGACAATGCTGGCGCTCTCTCTGCAGGACAGTTCAACGCTCTTTCCTTTGACTAGCTGGGGTCTGCACAGACTGATGCTTCATGGATCTTGGAAGTAGGGGATCCAGGCGGGAGCATGCTGCAATGATTCCTTATAGATATTTTTATTTTTCATTGGTTTGGCCTGCTTCCTGTAAATTCTCTTTGAAATAATTGTCTACCACTACAAAAACCAATAGAGAATATAAAAGACGCCATGATTTGTCTGTGCTTGGTTTCACCTTTGCTACTGACTTTTCTGACAGGCTTTATGTATTTGGTTCGCCCTCAATTTATGATCAGCTTTTTCTTGCTCTCTGACAAGGCAGAGGATCTTTTTTTTCTGATCTTCAGGACTATACAACTGTTACCAAAACTAGTCATGTCCTCAGTAAAATGCAAAAATGATTTTCTCACCTCTGGAAATCATGGAATTTGTGTGTACTGTGTCACAATGCCACGTGAGATCTCGGCCCTTTTTGCCCTGGATTCTGGATGTCTTTTTCTGAGATATGAGCTCTGTCTGCAGATATTGAATATCTGCATATGCTTCAGAATTGCTGCCTGGGGAAGCAGGGAGTTGCTCCCACCCAGCCATTAGAACAGGCAATGAATGCTCAACAGGGAAGGACGTGATTTGGACTCTTTCACAACACATCATCCTTATCTAGCCAGAGTAGAGCTGCAAAATGCACAACAACATCTTCCTTTGGCTTATAAGAAGGACTCGGGTGTTCAGTCAGGTCAAAATTGCTTTGGAAATATAGGAGACAAAGAGTGTTAGGGTAGACTGCAGCTGTACAGACCTGTAGAAACATGTTCATTGTCACTGGATGGATTTAAGGAAAAATCCAGATATACTGAAACAGAAGTTTTGCAAGATACGGTTAAGAAGAGCTTAAAAAAAAAAATTGAGTTTAGTCTTTAATTGTTTTTCCTGAATCCCAAAGTTTCTTGATGACATTAGAAAGCTGTCCCCACGTGATCTTTTGTGTTTGTGTCAGAGCATCTACATTGCCATGTGCACACTTTCTGCCCTGAAATGTACTGAGCACTGTACTGAGTGTGGTCATCTAGAGAAGGACTGCCAACCCATTTAGTTGTTTGAATAATGTCTGTGATGCATGAAATAATGAGAAAGCCTCCCTCAGGCTGTAATGTGCAGACATTATACAGCTTAAGGTTGTAAATTTGTATAACTCTGGGATAAGAAAC